TTTGCCATTAAAATTAAAGTGGAAATCCAAATCCTAATTCTCTATTAATTACTCTTTAGCAAGCTAATGACCATAGGTTTGGTCCTATAGTGTTTACATTGTGCAAACAGCAGAAAACCCTTATAATGCAATTGTGGTGTAGTAGAAAGAGCATTGGATGTGGAATTTGGAGATCTCTGGGTTCAAGTCCAGATTGAATCACTTACTAGTTTTATTACATTAGACTGATAATATAACTGCTTTGAGACTAATTTTTTAAGCTCTAAAGTGAGGACAGGATAAACCTACTTAAAAGGGTCATTATGAAAATTAACAGATAAAATAGGTGAACTTGTATCGTAAACTGAAAATAATTATATAAAGCATTGTTTATTATTCATTTTTAAGTGATATGTAAATACTTTATAATTTATTTGATTGTTTTAGCAATTAATGTTGCTCAGTTTTAGAAACAGAAGTAAAAGAAAATGAAATACTTAACCAGAGGAAATAGCAAGGCCAGAACTAAAGAAAGGACTCAATATTTTTATTCTTTCTTTTTCCCTGGAATTCTTAAATATCTGATGAAAATTTAGTAATCTTTTTTATACTCACTAAATTAGTACATTTTACTTGAATTTGCTTTCCCTGGGGCAGTAAGTACATTTTAGGTTTTAATATAGCTACTTGAAGATTTTGAAGTAGAAATGATGAGAGAGAAAATTGAAAGCATGCATTTAAACAGAGTATCCATTGATATATGAAATGGACTGTCTTTTAACAACTAACTTTCAAATGTTTATTCACATCTTTTCAGTTTCCTATCTAACAACATTTGCATCTAACTTTGTTTAAGTATAATCAGATTTGCACATCAGTGATTTTTTTTTCTATTTTTATTATTTTTTCTATTAATAACTTTAGAGTTTTAGTGGAAAAAAATGTTTAAAGGAAGGATGTGCAGGTGACATGGTAAGGATGCTGCAGTGTGATGTACCTGGAATTGTTAAAATTTTGGTGAGTATCTTTTTTCAGTTTTCTTGCTTTTCTTCATTGGAATAATATTTTTTACTTGAAACAGATTTGGGGATCATAATAATAGCATTCTAGCCATATTCTCTTTGATGGTGACTGAGCTCTCTGACCTTTATATTGCTATTATTTATCTAAAGTAGTATTTATGTGGTCCTTAAGAACAAGAAAATTTAAAAAATAAAGAGGCCTAGAGAGACACACAAAGAGAGAAACAGAGACAAAACATGCCATGAGTGTACCAATGAGCGAAGTATCATGAACCGAGGATGATGACTTACTTAATTCGGTGCCACCTAAGGTTAAAAGTAATTTTAGACTTTCTGAACCTCTTTGAGTCTGTAAATATCGTCCTATGAAAATATCTATAGAATACAACATATAGTATTTATTATAAAAGATGTACTCTGATATTATCCATTTTGTTTTTTAATTAATGAAATATCTTGTTGAATTTTCAGTTTATAAGTAAATAGATCAAATTATAAATAGAAGTGTATCTTATTTATTTCTTCATCTTTAGATATGCTATTTTTGTATTTCAGATTTGGCATTTAAATCCTATAGTGATGTAAAGTGGAACTGCTTTTTAAGGTCAACTCTAGTTTGTTGTTTGATCAGGATCATTTATTATTTATCTTATTACTTCTATTTTATTTGTTTTATATGACTATGGCTTCATTCTCATTGTCTTTTTTTCAATGTTAAGGCTAAGAAGTAACATTAAAGAATTTTGAAAATTGAACTACTTTAGGATTTTTTTTTTTCTATTACTTGCAGTTTGAAGTTGTGAGAAAGGATGAATATATAACCATTGAAAATTTAGGAGCAAGGTAAGCTTGAAATAAAATATTCTGTTACTTTTTTCTAGGCATGTATGTATTTTTAGTTGCTTCTTTGTGTTTCTGTCATCTGTTAGAGCTCCATTAAATTTTAAGGTATTATTAAGTATGTGAAAAAAAATCATGTTTAATTGCCATTTGTTTCCCTCTCCATCCCTACTTACTGTAGACATTTATATTTTAAAGCAGGGAGGGAGAAATCATGTGAATACTTTTCCCTTAAGTGAGAAAATAATTCTTCTCTGAAAATAAGATCTATTTTTCTCAAAATTATTTAAGTTAGGTTGTTAGGAAATAAAAACTTTCTACTATCCTTCAAAACTCATCCAGGTCACTAAGCTTGTCTCACAAAATCTTCCTGCTTCTTAGATGAGAAAACTGTAGAGGAATGTATATTAATAAGCTGAGAATTAATACAAATGTAGAGTGTTGCTATTGAAATTAGAAGTTTCAGTATAAAAATTTCTCCTAATCCACTGCTTATATCTTTTTCTTCTGTTTAAAATGTAAATATTTACCATTTTTCAATCTACCAGAGACACTGCATTGATATCTAAGGCATCAGTTTTCCCTTATGAGTTAATGAAACCCAAATCTTTATCTCTAGCACAGATCTCTCTCTAAAGTCTTGACCTCCTACCTGCATGCTGAATATTTCCATTTTTATTCTTCACAAATATGTACAATTCAGCATACCCAAAACTGGACTCGTGATCTTTCTTTCCAACACTGCTCTGTAACTTTTTTTTAAGTCCTGTCAATTCAGTTTCTTAAATATATTGTGAATTTCTTCTTATTTCTGTCCTACATCCCCCACTTCACTAAACTAAATGAGGCTATCATTATTTCTCATACAGCTTCTTGCCTTTCTCATAAAGCCTTGCTTTTCTCCAGTCTGTTGTGTGCATAGCCATCTATAGGATTTTTCTAAAATAAAAATGGAAATATCTCACTTTTGTGCTTGGAGATGTTTTGGAGGCTTCTCGTTGCTCATAAAAATGAAGTTCAGACTCTTTAGCTTGGCTCTTCACTTACCTTGGACCCTGCTGAACTCACTAGTGTCATCTCTTGTCATTTTGCTGTTAACCATATATGCACCAACTATACTGAGAGCTTCTTTGAGTTTGTTGGGTGTGCCATCTCAAGAAACCTCCAGGTTTTTATTATACATGGAGGTAAAACTGTTTTACTATTTTACCTCCAGGCCTTGCCTGGAATACTCTGTTCCTTTGGCTTTGCCTAGTTAAAAGTTTTGGAATGCCCTAGATTAGACTGGGTAGTTCTATCATATATTCGTTCTACTTCTTCCATCAAAACATTTTACTAACTTTTTTTAATGCTTTCTTGGCTATATCTCCATTTGACTGTAACCGTTATGAGGGCAAGAATTTTGTCGTACTTTCTAGTATATTCTCAGTACATAGCATAATGCCTGGCACATCGCTGTTACCCAATAAATACATAAAAAATGTAAAGATTCTGAGTTGCATTATTCCCCAATGGGTAATGTTATTTTTGTTCTGATAGGCCATTAACTTGGCAGGATGTGAATTTGAACTCTCTTTCTTGGGTTGTGGTTCCAGTCTCAGTCTAGATCTTTTGACTTTACTTGAGCTGCTTTTAGTCTGTTCACACATGTGTAGTTTAGCGGTCAGTCAGACATGTGGCTAGAAAGAATTTGAGGATCTTTTTTCTGACTCTTTCCCTTCTGGGATTCCCCCATTCTCTTCATTGCCCATGGTTCCCCTTCAGTTTTCTGGTTCCTCAGCCAGAGAGACCTTGCCTCGTTAGTTATGTCACCTTTTTCATTCCTAATGTTGGTAATTTGTATCTTTTTTCTTTTTTGCTCCATCATTCTGGCTGTAGGCTGTTCAATTTTATTGATCCTTTCAAAAAAAATCAAATTTTGATTTGATTTTATTGACTTTTCTCTAATATTTTTCTATTTTCAATTTCATTGATTTCTGCTCTTTGTTATTTCCTTGCTTCTGCCTGCTTTGGGTTTAATTTGCTTTTTCGATTTTCTTAAAGTGAAAGTTTTGATCATTGATTTGAGACCTTTGTTCTTTACAGACTAATTTCACATTAAGCAGTCCTTTATCTTTGTCCCATACATTTTGATATGTAGAGTTTTATTATTTCTATTCAATTCAAAATGTTTTCTAGGGGTGCGCGTCGGGGTATGTGTGTTTTAACCATGGGCTACTTAGGAGTATGTTGTTTAATTGCCAAACATTTGGGGATATTTCAGTTTATCTTTCCAGATATGGATTCCTAGTTTAATTCCCTTGTGGTCACTGAATATATTTTTTAGCATTACAATCTTTTAAGATATGTGGAAATTTATTTTCTGACCCATGATACTGTATATCTTGATGAATGTTCCATTTGCATGTGAAAAGAATCTGTTTCTGCTCTTGTTGAGTGGAGTACATACATTTGATGAAGTTAAAGTTTTGTTGCAGCATTCTATATCATTATTGATTATCTATTTACTTTTTCTATCAGTTCCTGAGAGAGAAATGTTGAAGTCTGTTATTTATATTTTGTCTTTGTCTATTGTCTATTTGTGTATTTTGAAGCTCTTTTATTAGATGCTACATACACATTTAGTATTATCTTTTTTCTTGATGATTTGACCCCTTCCCCTTATATAACATCCTGTTTCATTCTTGATAATATTCCTGCCTTAAATCTCTTTTGTCTGATATTAATATAGACACTCCAGCTTTCTTTAGATTAGTGTTTGCATGGTACATGCTTTCCCATCCATTTATTTCAACCTATATGTTTTTGAATTTAAAGAGAGATTTCGTAGATGCATAGGTTTTGCTGTTTTTATATCCAATCTGACAATCTCTGCTTTTAAGTTGGGTTTTTTATTCCACATAAATTTGCTGTAATTATTTATATGATTGGATTTAAATTTGTCTTCCTGTTATTTTCAGTATTCTCTGTCCTCTGTTTTTTATTTCCTAGTTTGGTTTATTAGTTTTACCTTTTTTTCCCCAGTAGTTGCTTGAGGACTTACTATACATATTTTTAGCTTGTCAAAATCTAGTTTTGAATAATAAAATACCACAGCATGTATATATTGTAAGAACCTTGCAATGATATATTTTCATTTCTTCCCTTCTTTTGTGCTGTTGTCTTCTTATGTTTTACTTGTACATATTTTATAAATTCTATATTATTACCTTATAAGTATAATTTAATTTTTTGTTTTGAACTTTATATACATGGAAACATTTATGTTTTTTATGCATTTTTAAACTGTACAGTATGTTTATATGATTCATTCTTACTTTTATTATAGTTGTACTTCTTTCATTTCATTGCTCTATTTTTTATTGTATCGCTACACTACTTTGATCATTCTACTGTTGATATTTATTTCCAATTTCAGACTATAACAGCATGTTACAATGGACATTATTGTACATGTTTCCAGGTGTATATGTGCAGAAAAGTTTCCAGAACATATACCTAGGAGTGGAATTGCTAGGCCATCTATGCATATCTTCAACTTTACTAGATTTTGCTCAACTGTTTTCCACAGTGGTTTTACCAATTGATACTCCCCACCAGCAATATTGGAGCTTTTCTTTTATTCACTATCTTTGCCAGTACTTCATATCGTTAGAGTTTTAAATTTTTCCAGTGTAGTACATAGTTGGGTGGCAGTGTTGTAGTGGTGTTGGAGATAAGATCAGTTAACAACCACCACCAAACAAAAGCAACCACTGCTAAAATCCTTCTTAAACTTACATTCAAGTGTTGTTGTCCATTACTTATTTTTTTGTTTTGTTTTGTTTTATGGAATCC